TAGAACTAGGTATACTCTCAAGGGTTGTAACAGATTTTTTATTCTGCTCGTTAAAGATATATTTTCTACAATTTTGCATATCAGGTTTTCAATATTTGCAGTAATTGCATTTTATTGCTTTTCATTTTACTGGCTTTGAACGAGAATATTAAAAGGCTACTTAAATTTTTTGAAGTTTGGGATTGTTTACGTGAATTCAATGAAGTAACTTCTTCTTTTGCCAACAACGAATTCGTAGGCGTCGATTTTAATGCTCCCAAGCATATTCTTAAAGCTGCGTATTGTATTCTATTTAGTTTTTTCAGCAACCCATTAGAACTCCCTCCATAAATTTGACACCCGTAGTCAAAGTGGGGTCTAATAACGGCTTTATATAACATTAGGATGTGCACCCCAACTGGTGCCACTTACTCGCTTGAGGATATCGATTCCTTTTACACATTTAACTAACGTTTCGTTAACATGTTTGTTGAAAGTTAATTTTGTATCAAATATCATCCTTAGAATTTTGATGTTTTCCATTATATTAATTTGTGTTGTGTTTATATTTATACTGATGTTATTTCTGGGAAAAGTATAAGTATAATGCATTTTGACTCTTAAGGTTCAGCGTTAAAAGTGGTTCAGCCCATTATTGAATCAGCTAGATTCATATTGAAGTCTAGAGTCTTTTGGCTGATGATGCCGCTAAAACTAAGACATCCGCAAATGCCAGAACATTATATATCTTGCCCTCTATGCTGACTCCGATCTCAAGGGGGCCCGTCTCTATTAACCTTTTTATAACTAAATTAAATAAACAGAGAAGCTTCAGCGTACAGTTGATTAGATTCCACATCATGCCCGATGTAAAAGGTTTGATGCATGGAGTCTCTTAGTTGTTTTATTAGTTTTTTAACAATTGGTACTGTTTCTTTGCGTTTATGCATACCCAAGTGTTGGCATAAAAGGCGACAGTACACGATAATTTTGGATAATGACACATATTCATCAGCAGATATTTCCATAGTGACTTTGTAGAATGGTTTGAGGATTTGTAGACTATGCTCTGCTATCTCCCAATCTTCTTCTGAGAGATGGTCCTTACTTGCAATGATACAATTCAGCATATCATATAACGAAATCCATCTGTACGTCATATCTTGTATCAACTCTGGCGGTAACAGGCTTTCTTCATAATTTTCTGCAACTTGTTTCATTTTACAACTGCTGCATGGAGTTTACCAATTCCAGAAAGTAAGATGTGATTTAAGATATGCGCAAAGCAAGTTATTTTAGACCATCCATGTTTGACGCCACACCTAGGACTAATAGGATCTTGGGTCCTTCGTCCAAACCGAAGTCATTTGTACCAATGTTTATATAATTTAAAATTCACTCACGTAATGAATAAATGCCTGTGGTTATTCATAGAATTTTAATGTGCTAATTAGTGCTAATGTTGCATGTGTTACCTAATCAAAGGCTTTAGCTATATCAACAGAGGCTAGAAATAAAGGTTTGTTGTTATGCTTATGGTGCCGTAGTAAGCGATCCAGCGCAAATGTGTTATACGCATCCATCTACTGGTTGAACGGCTTTCTGTCGACTGTCGATATGCAACTCATTAAGTACACGTCTGGCAAGCACTTTATTTAAAGTTAAAGTTAGTACATATGAGACTGTAATAGACCTGTAGTCACCAGGATGTATGGCATTATCCCTTTTAGGAATCAATGTCGTGTAAGATTCCATCATTTTGTTTGGAATGCAACTCATGAGTATTAACAGATTCAGCAAATTCATCAGAATGTCTATCCGCATTTATCTAAAAAGTCTGGCTGAAATACCGTCAGGCCCAGAGGCCCTGATCCTAGCTAAAAGTGATTTCTTCACTGTATCAGCGGATACTGGTTTTCAAATATTCAAGAGGTCCTCATTTCTCGCTCCTTGAACATCCGGTGATAAATTTGTCAACACATTCCTAGCCCAATGTCTTTATATAGCGTTATATTAAATAATAATCTGCGCTGCTGCCACTTATTTCATTTTGGTGCATGCTCTTTATTGTTAGATGTTCTGGGAAATGTGCACTCTAGGTATTCTAATACTTGATTTCCTCAGACGACAATTCCGCTGCTTTATGGCATATGTTCACCTGAAGGAAACTGTTAAATTTGTCATCATCCTTGCTCTCTGCCAGTGTCGGTGCCTTAATGAGTCCGTCTCTAGTGTCAACCCTAGCTTCGACTTCAGAAATGCTTGAATTTGTGTTACTATATTTTGGCGAAGGCCTTTGACCTTTAATGGCTTCCAGAATCCGACTCGGTGTTATAGAAATGAAGGCTTTATTAATTTGTGTAATTCATTTTTTTGATAAGAGCAGCTTCCTCTTTTGCCATGATCGCTTGCTCTTCTTCTGTTCAACGCGCTTTCTTGGATACCATCTTGGTTAGTTCCTGATCGTCGTTCTTTGTGTGCTCGTTGTTTGTGTACATCACGACCAACCGAAGTTGCAAAAGATTTGCCACAGGATGGAAAGCGGCATAAATGACTGTCTACATTGGTGGATTTGGGATAGACCAGCGGGTTCATCCGATACTAAATTATTCATCCGAAAACCGCGTGAAATTATATCGGCTGGATTAAAATTGGATAAATAATTTCTTTTACTCTGTTACTTACAAAAATGTGTCATATATTAGGATCGCTAGCGATCCACGACAAGACAATATTCGAGTCGATCCATAACGAAACCTTTTCAAAATTGATAATAATGTCAATTCAATTACTTTGTTTAATAACCTGACCAATAGTTAGGGAGCATATAATTCAAGTCTCGACAAACTTGTTGGTTTTGAGGGTGTAACTTTATACTTTGGACACAGTAGTTTCACACTAGCAGGTTGATCTTTATAAGTGATTTTTTATATAGAAGCATACTCCATAAGCATATGAAAGTTGGACACCTTTAATGCGTTCGATTTTCTGCAAAAACCATGAAGTTGAACATCTTTAGTGCGTTTCTTAAAAAAAAAGAAAACAATCAATAACCTATTAATATTTCTATCTTTATTATAATATTTCTAACTTTTCAGCAAACTTGAAATATTTACTTTCAACGTTTGCAGAAACTAACGCATCTTCATTTTTTTCTCCTACCAAAATCTTGTAAAATAAACGTTTCTTGAATAACAACAGGGGTGAACAGTCCTAAATGGTAAAAATTTGCCACATCCTGGACAAAATAGCTTGCTCATTATATTTTAAAGTGAAAACTCAATTTAAAAAATAATCATGTTGTGTATTTCATAAAATTCCTAATGTGTTTTTTATAATTGTTGTCGCCAGTAAGTACTGAATATTAAATTCTTTTAATTCTAAAGGAAAATCATTTCAGAAACTTTAAATATTTGAAACCCATTTGTGTAAACGAAAACTACCTATTTCTTATAATCTAATTAATTCAATCTTGTGTAATTGTCTTACACTATTAGCTCCTTAGTAATGATGTCATCAACATAAATGTCCTCTAAGAGTACATGTGAAACCAATGAAATGTGGATTTTTTTTTCAAATGCCAATTAATTCAAACACCTTATCGCTAGATATGGCGCTTAACCATTGCATAGGTTACAATTGTAAACCTATAACAATTTATTACTTTGGAAGGAGAATCTCTTCAAAGAATCCTTTGGTAATCTGAATCGGCTCTTCCAACTTTTATTTGTCTAAGTATTAATGAATTTCGAACTAAATCTTGTTTATAATTTGGGACCAGTTAGAAGAATGTCATTAAAAGACTTGTTTGAAGAAGTTTTAGTCGATATGTCAGAAACAACTCGTATTTTATGAAAACCCTGATGTAATTATGACTGATGGAATAAGTAAACTTTACTCAGAGAATAGTTTATATGAATTAGGATCTTTGCAAAATAGTTTTTCTAAATAATGAAACCTTTTATGCGCAACACTATATTTATGACCTGAATGTCTTTCATAATCTGGGGTAAGTGCAAGACAACTTTTTGTTAATTCTAGAAACTTTTTTTCAACTCTTTCCACTTCTTGTTCTCTAAGTCGTAGTGTTCTCTGCTGGTTGTTCCTGTGCGGTATATGCTGGTTTTAACCTGTCTTTACTAATACCTTTTTCTTGTCCATTAATATTCAGTTTAAAAGTTTTGTCGCCTCTTTCTAAAACTTTATATGGCTCTTTATAATGCTGGGACAGTGCTGGCTTGATAGTATCTTGCCTTACGAAAACTACTCCGTGGTATCCAAATCTTTGTGGACAAATGTTTTCCGTGGACTATGAGCTGCAGTAGGCCTTGGTTTCAATTTGGAAAAAGTATTTCGAAGTTTTGTAAGGACTTCGGATGTTTAGGGTTATGAAGGTATTGTGAAAAATTGTCCTGAAAGTCTGAGTGGCTCGTCATGCGTGAGTTTAGAACTCGAACTTTTTGAGTCTTCTTTGACAGCTGATCGAAGTCCTAATAATACCCATGGTTAAGCCTCTATCCATGACTGATCCTCATGGCACATTATAGCTGCTTTTAAGGTTCTATGTACTGTCTAGATCCACCCACTTGATTGCGGAAGATAAGCTTATGTTTGTATCAAGTGGATTCCACATGCTTGTGCGACGTTTCGGAATAGTGAGGCGTCACACTGTCTTCCTCTGTCACTCGTGACTTGTGCTGAAACTGCGAAGCGTGAGACCCAACATAAAAGAAATGCATGTGTTACCGTTTCTGATGTAATGTCTGGAATTGGATATGCAAAAAAATGTGCATGGCGGCTATAACCGTTTTTTGCCTTGTTCAAGATCGGACGGCTATAGCCGTCATTTGCGGTATCGTGTTAAAAGATAGCGAATTTTTTTGGATAGAGGTAATGAAACTACGATATTGATATGAACCTGTATGAATCTTGCCGTAGGGACATTGAATTCCTTAATGGGCGTTACGGTGTGTCTGCTTACCCTGCTCCGCTTGCATTTCAAACATCCTTTGGACCAAACCCTACAGTCCCGACGGATGTTTGGCCAAAGAAAGCGCTAGTTTTATCGTTGGTCCAGGTCCTGGGTGACTTAAATTATGCAGCCTGTCAAAAATTTTCTTTCTCATGCTTACAGGTACGAATGGTCGTTCTCTTCCTTGAGGCGTGTCGCAGTATATGGAGTAATTTGTTCCTGGAATTTTTCTTGTCTTAAGTTGTAATGCAGTTTTAATTAATAAATATTGTTTAAGCTCCTTGTCCTCCTTTTGTGCTTTTGCTATTTCGGTAAATTCTAATTGGGAACTGATTGATTGAACTCTTGAAAACAAGTTAGCCGGAATATTTTTCGTTCCGCTCACATGTCTGACATCTGTCGTGGATTGTGACATATTTGTTATCTGATTGAGTTGAACTGGTGGTATGTGGTCGTGTTTTTGCTGCAAAACATATACAAGTGGTTTGTGGTCGGTGAACCAAATGAAGTTACGTTCGATGATTTGATTAAAGTATTGAAATACTTCATACCCTGCAAAAAGCACGCCGTAGTGCGTTGGACACGTTCTTTGTTTTTCAGATTTTTTTTTGAAAAATAAGCGAGAGGTTTCCATTCACTTTCCACACACTTTCCTTTGAAAGCTATAAAATGGAATTTTATCGATCCGACATTGAACATTAGCATACTGGATTGTCAATTAGGCAAAATGTTGTGTTAGAGAACAAAATTAATTATTGATATCACTGATAGAAATTAGATAGAGACTTGTTCAAAAATTATTTGTTCAAATTTAATATACTAGATGACCCGACAGACTTTGTATTGTACCCATGTCTACATTTTTTTAATATAATATACTAATATTTACCGTTTACCAAAAAATAATAATTATTGTCTTTAAATTACTCTTTGCGCCAAAATGCATGTACATTTATAATATGAGCGATGTTAAATGTTGAACTGCTTTAAATAAAATAAGTCTCAATTATCACACTATATTGGAAAGTCTTTTAAACGGTATAACATAACCATAACCATAACATAAAACTGGTACTTCATGTTGGATTAAATTAACTAAATTTTTTATTATTTAAGATATCCAAAATTGCATCTTAAACTTTTCCTAATCTATATCGTGAGGGCCTTATTGCATGTATTCATCTTTACTTTTCCCTTTGTTGTTATAAAGTGATTTTTTTAAAATATTGTGGAAAAATTAGTAGAAGATGCAAAGAAATTATATATTGAACAAAAACTATGTTGAATATTTAATATTCGAATCTTGTGTTGGCGCCCCCTAAGACGTGCGCTCGTATTTTTTGCATTAATCGTATTAAAGGTAGGACCGGCCCTGATTAATACTTAATTTCATATTTTAAGTAAATTAATTTGTCATATCCTGTCCATATGTGTATCATTCAATCTGCCCTACATATACTGTATTTTATATTATTTTAATTTCTGGCACATATCAGCTGCTTTTTGGTAATAATAATGTAGACATTTCATTTTTCTATTCATAATCATAAATTTAGATTTATACCAGAGTATTAATTTAAATCAGTGTGACTTCTCGAAGAAGTGACTTTCTCTACTCAAACTTTAAAAAAAGTTTTTAGTCCTAGAAACCATAAATAAAAAAAAAACTTAGAATTATAATATCAGACTTTAAAAACAATTAAGCCTAGCTGGTCGCAAGTGAGAGAATATTTTCTATTTTTTGAAATTTTGTGAGTAAACAAAGGACACGTCCAAATAACAAATCGATAGTTTGCGGATTTTTAAAATATTTATTAGTGTTATGTCATCCGAGCCGAGTTTTAAAACTAAGTCGTGTATTATTGGGTTTTGATGGTCGGCCAGTTCTCGGTTGAAATTCGCGGCTAAAGAACATATTGCAATCAAGGCCTAAAATGTTAGAAATTAATTAATTAAAAGTACAAAAAACATTTCAGCAACTTCGATAAAACCAACATAGGTTGTAATTGTTCAAAAATCGCGAGTGCTTGCCATGTCGTCCAAACCTAACAAGACGCTTTCCCATACATTTTTGATTAGGCTTGGATTGGACATAGTAAGCGTTACTTCAATCAATATTTTTAGGACTAGAAATGGTTAAAATTATGAACAAAATAAAAATTATAGCCCAATCTACTATTTATGAACCTTATTGATAATACAATTTAATAAGGATACTATTTTTGGTGGACAATCCCGGAGCACCGATTATTCGATTTCAATTACTCAAAAAGCATTCGATTCCCATTGATAGAGGTAAATTGATTTTCAAGTAGACTTGTAGGTAAGTAGGTGGATACATAGACAGGCAATCAGATGGACAAGTAGACGTGTGAACTGAAGAGTTGTGAACAGGTTAACAGATTGGACAGTAAACAGGCAGCAAGGTAAAACTGTTAGTAGAAGTAGAAGGTTGAAGAAGTTGGAGACAGGTGGACAGGTAGACAAGTAGTTCATGTATAGTTTAAAACAATATTGAAATTTGCCTTACAATTAGTATTACTTTAAAATTTTGATTTTTTCAAATCAACTTACAGCTTGTTGCAGATCATCATGAGTGACATTTTTTACGATGTCCTTGCAGATTTCAATATATTTTTTCAATTTTAACTCTAATACATCGGCTCGTTTCATACAATCCATAGCATTGAGTACCATATTATTTAGATCCATATCTTTTACTTCCATCAATTCCCAAGATAAATATGTGCCGCAGGAAAGTAGGCAGTATCTCGTTCCCTAAAATATATTTTGATAGGAGTATGAATTAGTTAAATTAGTTATGTTTAATCTTTGATCTAATTAACATACCTCGATAGGACGATTTCTTTCAATGACACCATTCCTAAACATTTGAAATTCTTCTAAAAAATCATCCCATATATCTAAATAATTTATGTTATGTAAATAGTGGAAAATGTATATTTTTTTCAGAGAATTTACAATCCGAGGAAAATCCTCTTTCCATTTATTTTGGATCCATTTGCTAGAAAGAAAAATTATTTCTGATTAAGAGATGAATTGTTTGACAACTTTCTACACATAACAAAAATGTAATTCGTACCCCATTCACAATACTTAGCCATATGGCTCCATATATACAAAGGCGCATTCGGTCACAATGGTCGATATGGCGGCACCGCAATCTGCAACAATGCTTGCCCTTTTATAAAGGCAATGCAAAGTCTTGCTGCAGTTGTCCAACACTATTGCGTCTGCAGAATCCTGGGCGATGACTTGCAGAGCGCCCAATAAATTCCTTAAATGCTGTAAACATAAAACACTACATTTAAACTAATAAGTATATATTAAAAAGTTAGAAAAACTACAAATACAAGATGCATGAACATTCCCATATGCAATTAAAATTTCTGGTTGAAATATATACTCCTGCTGGTGGCAATTCAAGCACAAAGACAAGTAATCCTTATAGGTATTCATAGGTACAAAAATTAAAATACTAACCAGATCTTCCATCTCACTTCTATTTTCGAAGTCAAAATATTGAGGTATTCTGATCAAATGAATAATACAATTCACATTGGTTTTGAAGCGAGCCAACAGAATTGCTATCACAGGCATTAGATGTTTTGTGATATTTAATTTTTCTTCCTTCATTTGTTTTCTTTGTTTTAAACTTGGGACCTGTACATATGAAAACTAATGAAATTTAGAAATAAAAAATAATGTTTAAACATATAATCAACACACTAGAAGAAGAAACAACTGGATAGTTTTACCCATTTGCATGTACTGACATTAAAACCAGGACAGGGTACTTTTACTTGATCGGTTTAGATTTAGTTAATGTTGTACTGCTAATTGGACTTATAAATTATTGCCTTAAATGTTTGACGACTATCATACTATAATATCACATCAAGGAAACAGATGTGTAGTACTAAAAGCAACAAACTGATTTCCACAAAACTATTCCAATGGTCATGAGTTCATACACCGTCCAAAAATCCAAAAAAAAATCAAGTTGTCTGGAGACCAAGAGCGTTTTGTTTATTTAATTGACCAGGAGAGCAGCTGCATATCAATTAAGTAGGGTCCTGTACTTGTAATTATCGACCATATTCGGATTCGTTGCGAATATTGCAACTTGAGATCATTTCTAGAAAATGCTTATTCTTGTCGCTTCCGTAAGTACCCCCTGCCAGTAAAATAGGTCAAGTTACCTCAGTTTTATATATGCATCATTGCAATGCAATATTACCATGCTATCAGTTGGATATTCACTAGTAGTTGAAAGACTTGCACACCAGAACATCATTTCAATTAAAATTTCCTGGGGTTGGGGGATTGGGGTCAAAGGATCATCAACTTCTTCTGTTAGAATATGTATCATCGAATTCCAATCTTTCATTATCTCAATGTTTGCAACTAGGGCATCCACTAGATAAGAAATAAAATTTAATCCCTGAAAAATAATAAAAATAAAGAATAAAGATTCAAAAAAAATATTTATACGAGATCCACATGACTATCATATATACATATTTTACTTACTTTCAATTCAATAACAGAAGTTACAACATGTCTGAACCATCGAACCCCAAACCCGGCCCCATTTGAATCTTCATCCAATTTCAAAAAAACATTATCGATTGGGATGGCAACCTTTCGATTTGGAGAGAACATCAAACTTGAAACAGTGTTCAAGTCTTTCCTAGTGAATAAGTATGGATAAGACCTGAATGGACAAAAATGGATAATTAATTAGCTATATCAGTCTCAACAGGTAATTACAGGGCATTCGTAGAAGTCGGGTTAAGAAGTTGAAGTACACCTTTCGTAATGGGGAAATGCTAAAATATAATAAGCGGCAGTCATTGCAATACCCCAGAAAGGGGCTTCAACCCATAGCGTCAACCATTATACACATTTATAAAATTAAAAATTATATATTTATAATAGCTTTAAAAATATTTATAATATTTAAAAACAATAATGTAATTAAAGTCATACTTCAAATATGACATGATCGGTTTGTCATTGTAATTATTATTTAGAAATGAACCTTCATTAGAGAAATGAAGATTAATAAATTGCTGATTAATAACTTCTATAATATTTGTTGAGACAGCGGATTATGTCAAACAACTAAATTACTAAATTACTAAACAAATATTGTTTTCGCAACTTCACTCTTCAATTAGAATTAACATACATTCATTTATTGCTTGTATTTTTTTACTTTTTCGCTGGCGATATACTATTATTTTTTGAACAGCTGTAATATAAGATTGCTACTACCGCTGGGTGTTTACTGGGTTATCATCATCAAAAGTTTCATGCATATGTCCATTAAGTGAACATTTTTATTCTCAACTCTCACCTGAACATAGCTGTGACAAGCTTTATTGCAATCTCTTGATTAAAACGGCTCTTGTCCCAAGATAAACTAAGAAATCTCTGTTGATATTTCTGTGTAAACAATTTTAATTTTCTTGGTAGTTCATCGTCCTCATACAACGGGATCAAGGCTTTCAAAGAGTTTGCTCGTACTGATGCAGCCTGTGAAGATATGGAAAAAATCATTATTAGTAACTGCCTGAGGAGATTTTTATGTTCTCTTGACATTTCAAGATCGGCCTTTTCAAGAATCCTGAAGAAAGAAGGAAACTGGATTGGACCCGTTCTGTTCTAAAGAGTGCCTCCTGCACGACGTCGTGGATGGTAAAATAGAAGGGCTGAAGGGATTGGTAAAGAGAAAATACAGGGTACTAAAAACCGAAGTGCAGGATCAGGAAGCATAGATGAAAGACTACCATTTATTTATTATATATATATATATACCTTGTCATACACGAAATATGCAATAAATCGTAAATTCCCGTCATTTAAAAACAGTCTTGTGTGTTTTGTCAACCAGCGGCCCAATTCACATATGCGGATACTTCGTGTCACTGGTACGATATCTCTGTAAATAAACTGATGTTTAAAAAATATTTAACTTATGCTGTTCAAGGAGTTATGGTAGGTATAACAGCTATTCCTGGTGACATATTTTATTTTATATGGCAAAATGATTGATCTAGTGGTAATATCAAAAAACCAAACCGAGCTGCAAAACATGATGGACAGAATCGTCGAAATGGGTAGAAGATATGGAACGGAAATCAGCATCAACAAATTGGAAGTGATGAGAGTATCAAAACGAGATGATACTCTGAAGATAACAGCAGAAAATCAATAATTGGAAGACGTTGATCATTTCAAATATTTAGGAAGCATTCTGACCAGAAACGAATACAGCACGAGAAAGATCAGGACAAGATCGCAAGCGCCAAGGTGGAGTTTGCGAAGTTGAGAACACTACTGAGAACCAACCAAGTCTCGACTTGTGGATGATATTGATAAAAAAATGTTATGTCTAGAGCATAGCTCTTTACGGATCAGGAACATGGAGTCTAAGAAAAGCCGACAAGAACTATTTGGAGAGTTTTAAAATGTGGTGCGCAGGAGACAGGTGAATGGAGAAAATAAAGTGGACTGACAAGATAACAAAAGAATAAGTCCATAAAAGACTTCACTGAGAACGATCATGAAAAGAAAAGGAAACTGAATAGGACCCATTCAATTCAACCGAAAAAAGAGTGCCTCCTACACGACGTGGTCCAAGAATACATAATCCTGAACATATGCTTATTTAAGACATGATATGCTAAAGCAGGAGTCTACAAACAAAACTTAGCTGTGTTATCCGAGAATTGGCCCATAAATGTCAAAATATCTTACTTCATGCGTTTATAAATTATATTCCTGAATAGGGACTTGATACACAATTCCAGTTCCCGAGACTTTTCATTTAATTTATTCCTTTCTGAGTGAAGGGATTTCAAGCCACTAAGATCACGCCTCGTCTCCTTCGCTTCTTCGGCCTGAATTAGCTTCGAGCACCGATTCATTTCTGACGCTGCTTGTTGAAGTAACCCTGCTAATTCTGCCGTTATAGTTAATCCTGAATAGATATATAAAAAATCAGCAAATCAAATGGTAATTTTAAAAATTTTCAACTTTTTGCCAATGTATTAATTTTTAATGTCTAGTGATGTTTAAATGTAACTTAAAATTTTTTAATATGTACATAAATGTCTAGATATACATACATAAATGTATATGTCGCCTACTGGCAAGGGTTAAAAATGTACAAAAATTAAAAAACATATTTTAAAATGTCTAGAAATGTGTAAAATATATAGATGTCTAAAAAATATCTAAAAATCTATAGAAGAGTCTACATATAAAAATCATTCTCACGAATACAATTTACCTGCCAATGTCGCCGTGTATCGTATATTTTTCTGACCCAATCTTGACAAATGTTTCAAGATTGAGGTCTGATTTTTTATAAAGAAATCATCACCAACTATTTCTTTTTCATCCATAATTATGATATATTTTAAAAACTGACAAAAATCAATTTTAAAGCTTCTACGTTTTAAATTTTTGGCGTTTTAAAAAAAACAATAAAATAAAAGAAGTGATACTCTGCAAAAGAATTGAAACTTCGTAATGTGAAAATGAGATTGCAATGCCTTTGGGCAGTCTGCAAGACCTTCAAAGAGTATGCAATCAGATAGTCTACAATAAATATTCTAAAAATTATGAAATAATCCATAACATTCGAAAAACATTTTACATTCTAAAAATTTTAAAACAATCTTCAACATTCCTAATCTATGGCATTCTAAAACAATCATTATTAAAACATTAGCTCACTTTGCATTGAACTCATTGAACATTGAAAGCAACCTTGTTCAAAGTCGCCTAAGAAGTTTCACTTCGATAATACATTGTGATATATTGCATTATCTATTATACCTCTACAAAACTTCCTTTTATTGTATTCGCCAGTGCATAATGTTCTAAAGTTCTCATCATATCGGCGGTCACTGGTACGCCGTTGAAGCCGCTGGCGTTTACAAACAGGTACCTGTCGCGGAGGTACAAGGTTATCCAATTACTGACAATCATCTGAAAACAGTTTTTAAAAAAATAGATAAAACTCGATGAGAGCTTGCAACAAGTCAATGCCTGCGACAAGTCAATCTGAATCGTTTGAGAACAAGTTTGGGATAAGTATGCGAAGCTGAACCGATTTCAAATTTTCTGATGTAGCACGACAAGGATGGATTAGTTATTATTGAATTCTTAACTTCCCCAAAGAGAAACAGTATGGATGGTGGATCTGCTTTTTTTCTAAAGCCAAGAAAATGAGTTTACCTATACCAGACCAGTGTTGTTTTTTTTTTAAATTATAATTTCAAAGAAAGTTCTCGGATTACTGC